AAAGATGAAGCAAAGAATCAGCAATTGTCTGAGCTGAGTGAAAAAAATCTTCAGCAGTCAGCGGTTTGATTTAGCCTAAATTTTTCTTGTTTAACCGATACAAGAAAATTTCCTCTGCGGCTCACAGTTCGACCGCGTGCGACAAAATGGTCCCATATAGTTAAAGCCTTTTACGACCTTCTTTGAGATGGAATTCCATAAGCCGGGTTGGAGAAATACTATAAATGTAATGACAGCAGCTGAATTGCCCATGCTTTACGAACAACACTGTTTTTTGCGCGCGACTCTCGAAATGTGAATATCTCTTTGAGCTCAACGCAAAAAGCAAAAAAGAGTGCATAAAAATTAAGCTGTCGAATATGAAGATGATACAGGCTTTCCCTTATCGATGCGTTGGGAAAGACTGCGTTGGAAAACATTAAAAATGTTATGTCGAACAAACGGAATTATAACCGTCTTTACCAGGAAATAAGAATGCGCGTATAAGCCATTAGTTGTCGCAAATTTCACGGCATTGCTGATGTTCTTATGGTATCAAAAAGGCTGTCCCACCCCTTCACTTCGGCTGTTTCGAGGGCTGTGATGTGAAAATGCGAAACCTTGTCACTGACGAAAGTTAAAGATCGAGCGCTGGATCGAAAGGTGAAGGGCTTATGTGTCTTCGTGATCATATAAGCAACCAGTTTCTTTAGTAGATGAGCAGTGTGTAGAATATTATTTCTACTGAAACCTGATGGGCAGAATATGAAAGTCGTTTCACTGATAGCCATGTCCGCTGGTTTTTCATATCAATAAGCAGTAACCATGAAATGCTGAAGGACCAATTAAATTGTCTTGAAAGACCCTGGTGTATGTAACCAAACACACGTTCTCTACTAATTGGAGGTTTGTAGCTCAGTATCGTTGGGCCTGGCGCTGTTGCGACCGACGTAAAATCACTGACATAGAATCTTTATACGAACTGCTTGCATCATCTTGATATTCTTCGTACACAAATTTTTTATAAATTTCGAGCAAGTCATCGGTCCCGTTAGCAGTGTGTTCTGAGGAATCACTGGAAACGAGTTTGCTTGCAGGTAGCTCTAACTTTTATAAGGAGTTGTTGGCTACATTTCAGGATATTGTTAGGCTGGAAGAAGTCTTAGCAACTAATAATAACTACATTTCTGCGATGGAGGATGAACTAAGAAAGCTGCGGAGAGAGATGGCTACTTTGATGGATAAGAAAACGACTGATTTTGATGAGTACGAACAGGAAATCTCGTCTTTGCGGGAACAGGTGTTGTATCATGCTTCATTAGTTAGCTTTTTGTTTGGATAAAAAAGTATTCAGTTGCTTGCCGAACCTGCGACAGGCGATGCGAGATCGGTTCGCTGATAGCTTGGTTGTTTTCTTTGTTCGGCCTTTGTTTGGCGGAACCAGACCACATATGGTGCGCAGCATACGTGGGTTTCAATAGTTGTTAGTTGAATAGCAGTAGCCACCGAATATCAATCGATATGATATGTGATACGTGATCTGGTTGTGTCTTGCTAACGGCATAGCCTTTTTGGTAAAAACATCTTAGTTACCCTGCCTTCACCAAGAAACCACAGGGATAAGACTTTTTCTTGGGACTGTTTTTTTCAGAGGCAGCTCTTTGATAGTTCATTTTGAATTTCACGATTTTTTGAACTGTGTTATGGCTGCCTCGATAAGAAACACGGACTATGACCTGTGCCACTACTGCACTGTGCTTTTCAATTCTAGAACAGTTTTCTAACAGAAATAGAAACTCGATGTGGAAACTGTCATGGACTGCTCACAGAAAATCGGCAAAGTTCTACTAGTGCTTGGGGCAGCAGTAGATGTCCGTGTCTTTTAGCTTTGGTACCATGCACTGAGAACGGGTGGTGTATTACCTCTACAAGGCACTGAAAGAAGTGCCGCAGTGAAAGTGGGCATCATCTAGCTTTGCCCAGACGTGCTAGTCCAAAAAGTTTCGTTTATAGTGGAAGCTGGTTTGATTAGTAATCATAATTACAACATGGAGCTTTGAAGGTGACCGAAAAGAACACCAATTTGAATGAAATGATGCAAGAAGCGCAGCAGTTAAAGAAGAAGTTAGCGATGAAAGAACAGGAGTTGCAGGAAGCACTGAGGAAGACCGAGCGAACACAAGACACTAATAGTGAGAAATATAATGATAAAGTGGTACGCTTTTTTCTCTGTAGGAAAGAAAAATCGTTGCCTGAGCGCCAAAATTTAGAACACTTTCGAATATACCTTTTTTTTAACAATGAAGTACAAGAAGACTTCTAAAACTCTGGAAAAGATTGTGTATTTCTGCTGAAACAAACTTGTTTACAATTATTTGAGAAGCACAATCACAGTGGAGCTATTGGCGTGAGGAGTTTTTGCTCAGGGAAATACTGACGCTTCAGAAAAAAAATTCGGGATCACTTTTTCCAGGTAGTGGTAGGAATCAGTTTCGTATGCCCAGTGCCCTTACCCGTTATAAAAGGGTTTTTTCCTAGAGCACAGAATTTTTGTTGTTCAATACTTATGTTTTAGCTGGAACTGAAAGCAGAACGAAACAACTTGCTGGATGAAAATTCACAGCTGCGAAATCAAGTGGCTCGAATCAGTAAGGATTTGACCAATGAGCGTGCTCACGTAGAGGAGCTGACGGCGATTTGTAATGGTACTAGACGTGATATGAAGGTGCGACTTGCGGCGATTTTTTGCCATTAGTTTCTTCTCTTGCATATGCCCATTTCGAACTATGTTTCTTCCGGCAGCGTTATCCCGCACTCTGATGATACCGTCCGTTATCTTTAAGCTGGTTAATCCCCGGATTTTCCAGTTTAAAAATACATTGGTTTCATTATTTATGATGTGCGAAGATTATCTGTTTGTTTTAAATTATTTCGGATCAGTTATGACTTATAATCTGATTCTCCATATTTGCAACTGTCACTTTTCAGATGCTTTATCCAGTGTATCATCGGCTGATGGTCAGCCTGCTCGCGATTTTGTTGTTCTTTTCATCTCTTGAGGGTACTGCCATCTCGTCATTTTTCCCAAGAAACACATGCCAACACTTTAACCGTTCGGATGTCTGTGGTATGTGTTGGGTTTCACCACCTCGTACTTAACACTGCCATTTCTAGACAACGATAAAGTGATTCCGACTTTACGGTTATTGTTGCAGGAATTACAAATGCGTTGTGACGACTTAACACAGGAATTGAACGAATGTCGCAATTCAAACACAGCCACTAGTTCAAAGACAGCTACTAAAGGAAATTCTATGTTTTTTGAGGTAGTCTTTGGAGAGATGCTTTT